GTCAAAATGGAACAAATATCGCAAAATATTGCCCAGGAACGGAATATTGATCCGCAGAAGATTAGTCTTCCGCCGTAGTTCTTTAGGGTACCATATGGTCGTCCCACCAGTTTTTATTACCGTTGAACATTAAGTCTTTCAACTACAAATAATCAATATTGACCTACTTTTTTCGATACGATACGAATATAACTGTAACGATTATTATCGGTATCGATCGTGCCGGCACCATATGGAGGTACCGGCTATTTTTTACCCTAAATGGCTGCCATCTTCGCGATTTATATAAATATACCGAACGATTACAGGTATTTTAAATATCCACCTCATGGTGGAGGACAGAATATAAGCAATATGTGGAGAGTATACGTTGACATTATGTGGAGGGTATAAAAATTATGTCAATATTCCACATTGCTTTCAAGCCTTCGGCATTCCTGAAAATATTTCTGATATTTTAGCCTAGAAAAAAAACATTATAGGTTTCTTTACAATAGTCACTGAAAACCTTCTTTGCTCATATAAATTTTATGCATTTATTTATAGGTTTTAAATCGTTGGCATTTTTTGACAAGAAATAAATTATGTGTAAAATTATTAACTCTATCAATAACTCATAAGTAATTGGAAATAAACTCCCCTCTACTCGACGAATTATATATTTAATATTCTTGTATATCCAATGCATTTGTTTACTTCGATGCCTAACCATAATTAAGTATGTAAATAAATATAGAATTACAGTATAAGACATAGAACTTGACCTAGAAATTCCAAAACATTTCATAGCCACTAAAAAATTTTAACAAAGTCATCGCACACAACTACTACTTCACTTCGCCTTACTTCACTTTATTATACATTAAAATAGTTATAGGATTTTCAAATACACCGACACAGCATAACTCCATGTGTATATGTGTGTGTTTGAGAGCAATGCGTATAAACACTTTACAACCATCAAAGGTTCAGTATATAAACACGTTTATTTTTGGGGAATTAATCATTACACTTCTTCGTTAAGCATTTTTAACAACACAGACCCTCTCTTCAAAAACAAAAAAAACCTATCAAAATGTTCAAGTTGGTATGTGAACAAAATATTTTGTTAAAATATTTAAAACACATTTTTAACAAAATCTTCATATCGTTTTTGTATCCTTCAGGTGGTGTTGTCTGCTCTTTTCGCTATTGCCTTGGCTCGTCCAGGTCTATATGAATCTGTTGAGGTCCAATCTGCTCCCTTGGCCACTGTAACCGTTCAAGAACATGGTTATGCCCACACTGGTTCCCTGGTAAAATCTGTGCCCTCTTCCGTGTCCCATCAAAGCCATTCGGTTGTCCATAGCTCAGCTCATGTTGTGGAGGATGTTTTGGCACCTGCTGTGAAGACCACTTCTTACACCACCAAGACTTTGGCTACACCTGTTGTTGAAACCTACTCTGCTCCTGCTTTGATTAAAACTGTGTCTACTCCTGTCTTGCACACCTACGAATCAGCACCTGTTGTAGTTAAGTCTTGGTAATAATATTGACTAATATTTTGTTGAATTATTTATAATTTGTTAATGTTTTTATTATGAAAATAAAAAAATAATAAAAATTATACCTATTAAATTTTATTTCAAAAAATCAGTTAACATTTGAACATTTTTCAATAGATATATGATTATATATCTATTGAAAAATTAATTTTCTTCATTACATAGCAGGTTGTTATTTTTAATGATTTCTGATGTATAAAAAACGAATATAGCGACAACAAATAAATTGTGGTCTAAAAATATGGTTTAAAATGGGCGACTGAAATTCAATACATATGGGTTTTCATTTTCATATAATTTAATTTAAATTGGATTTAATGCTGCCGCCTTAAAAACTTTACTTAGACAAATTTTAAATTTTAAATTTTTTTGCGATTTTCAAATTATTGGCATAGTATTGTTGTTGATGTTTTTTGTAACTAAAAAATTCGATTGTCGAAAAACTCCCTATTTTTGAATACAAACTATGTTAGAAAATGAAGATGGTTGGATTATTAGTTTCTGAGTTATAGTCCCGGCATTTGTAAAACCATGTTTCAGCAAAAAACGGAGTTAAAGTACGAGAAGCACTCTTGCCGTCACTTGATGCTGGCACAATAAATCGTCTATATCTTTAATGAGATGCATTTGAAAATTGTTCAAAACTTTCATATGGAGACCATATTATAGAAAGTTATTATTCAAATGTTTTTATGCTCTGCGAAAACGATATACCAAATTACAGGCCCTTAGTTTGGGAATGGAGACTTTATAAGGATGTTTACCAACCCCGAACCGGAATGTCAAACTACAGCTACTTCTATTGAAAAATGCGGCTATGAACATCAAAATATTTAAAGTAAAATGGAACTTTAAATGAAAACATGGACAAGTATTTGACATTACCCGCAAACATGACCTTCACCTAACTTGAAAAACCTAATTACTGCTCTTCGTTTTTATACCCTTCACCACAATGTGGTACAGGGTATTATGTCTTTTTGCATATGTTTGTAACAGGCGAAAATAATCGAGATATACCCATGGTTCCTTTTGAGAACATGCATAGAATCACTTTCTGAGTCGATTTATGCATGTCCGTCCGTCTGTCTGCCTGTCTCTCCATGTTAAATTGTAAACAAATTAAGGTCACATTTATGATCCGAATTGAATGAAATTTGGCACAGCTCATTTGTTTGGCCGAAGGACGAACCCTATTGAAATTGGGAAAAATCGGTTCAGGATTAGATATAGCTCCCATATATATTTCGTCCCATTTAAGTTAAATAGTGTACCAAAGTCCCTATATATCTTTCGATTTGCACGAAATTTGGCACAGCGTAATGAATAAGGTCTAGAATGATGTGTGTTAAGTTTCATGAAAATCGGTTCAGATTTAGATATAGCTCTCATATATATTTTCATCCGATTTAAGGTAATTGGGGCACCAAAGACCCTATACAGCTTTCTATTTGCACAAATTTTACGGAATTACGTTTAGAATGATGTGTGCAATGTTTCGTGAAAATCGGTTCAAATTTAGATATAGCTCCCATATATATTTTCATCCGATTTTAGGTAATTGGTGCACCAAAGTCTCTGGAAATCATTCGATTTGAACGAAGTAATATAAATTAATCTCTGGTAAGTTTCCCTGAAATCGATTCAGATATAGATATATAACAAAAACGCGACGTCTGTTAGGATTCGTATGTAGAATATAACCAAAGTGGTGAAGAGTGTTATATAGTCGGCCGAGTCCGACTTTACTACTTTCATTACTGGTTTTTTTGCAAATGTGGCTCGGAATACATAACATTTAAAATGGTCGTTCAAAATAACCAGATCTCCTTCCCCATGCGAAATTTCGTGATGTTCGGATCATTATCAGAAAAACAGACAAAAATAAAGTTGTGTAAATCGACTCAGCTAGTCGAGAAATAAAAATCTGTATATCAAAACGTGGAGCGAGGACCAATATTTCGCGGCGTTACAAAATCGTTGGACCACACAAAGTTATAATAACCTATGAACATAGTTGTGTTGGGTATGAAATCGTAATATTTTTATACCCTACACAACTATGTTGTCAGGGTATTATAGCTTTGTGCAGCCCCAAGAGTTTGTAACGCCGCGAAATATTGGTCCTAAACCCACCTTTAAGTATACCGATCGTCATATCTCGACTAGCTGAGTCGATCTAGACATGTGTGTCCGTCCGTCCGAATCTTCACGAAATTTTGCATGTAGGATGGGTTCTGGCCAATGAAGACCCCTATTGTTTTTGGTAAAGAAATGGAAAATGGGGGTGAAATGCACCAAAAACTTTATTTTTGTCTGATTTTCTGGTCGCAATTATGGTCCGAACATCGTGAAATTTTGCATGGAGAAGGGGATCGGGCTAAAGAATAAGCATCCCTCTTTTCATAAAGATCGGTCAATATTTAACGGGTCAAATGGACCCTGACTTTTGTGTGAAAAATTACAAAATTTGTATTCTATAGCGTATACATTTACCCCTGAAGTATGTGTATGTATGACCCAAGAAGTTGAAAATATATCCAAGAGGTGTGGTTGGCCTTCAAATTGATACCAATTACGTTGTCGTATGTACTCGGATGTGGGAGTTACACTTAAATATTCACAGGTGCTTACGTATTCAAACATTATTTAGTAACCCATTACCCCCCTAGAAAGCGAAAATATAGCGCTGAATGCTTTGAAATTTTCCATGAGGATCCAGGTATGGTCAAGGACAACGTCTGTAATTTTCGGTGGTGATCAGATAATAATATTGGGATAAAGTGGACCGAAAACTTAATTTTTTGGGGGTTTCGAGTCGATCTATAGGCCACAATTGAAATCCGAACATTACAACACAACCCACAGTAAAGGTCAAGAGAGTGCAAATATTGCCCAAGATCAGAATATAGAACCACACAATGTTAGACTTTCGTGGAAGTTGTGTAGGGTATCATATGGTCGGCCCCGTCCGACTATACTGCTCGTTGGACCACACAAAGTTATAATAACCTATGAACATAGTTGTGTTGGGTATGAAATCGTAATATTTTTACCAATATTTTTGTAAATCACTGGCATTTTTCTCGATTCGATAACACTTTGTAACTAATAATGGAAATAAACAGACAATTACTGTAAAACAATTAGAACTTGACCTAGAAACTCCCACTCCATCTCCTAGCTACATAACCACCTTTTACAATGTCTGTGTGTTCCATGTACTTCATTACATGATGGTCGATATCATGCTTTAATATTGTTTTGTCTTGTTTTTTTCAATAACACTCACATACACACACACATATTTACGTGCTTTTGTGTGTTTAGAAGCAACTCGAAGAAGCACTTGACAACCATTAAATGGCCAGTATATAAACACGTTTATTTTTGGGAATTAATCATTACAATTCTTTAGCAAGTACTAGAAACAACACAGACACTTTTTCAAACAAAATGTTCAAGTTGGTAAGTACACGAATCGTTTGTTGTAACAACTCAATATAGATTTCTAATACACGTCTTTTATTCCTTTGTTCTTCCAGGTGGTGTTGTCTGCTCTATTCGCCATTACATTGGCTCGTCCTGGTCTCTATGAATCCGTTGAGGTACATTCTGCTCCCTTGGCTACGGTAACCGTTCAAGAACATGGATATGCCCACACTGGTTCCCTGGTAAAGTCGGTACCCTCTTCAGTGTCACATCAAAGTCATTCGGTTGTCCATAGCTCCGCTCATGTTGTGGAGGATGTTTTGGCACCTGCTGTGAAGACCACTTCCTATACTACCAAGACTTTGGCTACACCTCTTGTTGAAACCTATTCTGCTCCTGCCTTGGTTAAAACTGTGTCATCTCCTGTCTTGCACACCTACGAATCAGCTCCTGTTGTAGTTAAATCTTGGTAATAGAAGTGATTTGATTGCAAATGATCATTGATCGAATTGTTGTTATTATATAATATTTGTTGTGTTGTTAAAGAAAGAATAAAGAAATAATGTTTAGAAAATACAAATATAAAGTAATTTTATTTTCAATCCGATTCTTTATTTTTCCTTCTCCTACAAAATTTTCGTTCGTCTGCAAAACCTCGAAATATTTGTCGAAGACCCCGTAATCTTTACATCTTGTTGATTGGAATAAAATTCTTTGTCGATTTCTCTGTATGTCTGCCTGCTGGTCAATTTGTACGACGTCCAACCTGTTGAAAACACAATGGACCACCAACTTTGCGCAATAATTGATACTACTCCTAGTAGGTGTTCAAAGTAAGATATATGGTATATAGCCCCCCATATATCGTTACCGTTACACTTTTCAATCAATGGAAGCTTCAAATTCCAGCCGAAGTGGCTGGCATTTCGGAGGTGAATCTGGCATTTCCCATTTTTTGAAAGATTAACAACAAGAATAATTATTATACGTCTATTCCCTAGATTTATAAGAAATATGGCTATAAGTAGGGCCTTCAGATTTTCTGAGTATAAAATACCTCTTTGTATATTATTATACCCTACACGAATATGTTGTCAGGGTATTATAACTTTGCGCAGCCCCAAGAGTTTGTAACATCACGAAATATTGGTCCTAGACCTATCTTCAAGTATACCGATCATCATATCTCGACTAGCTGAGTCGATCCAGACATGTGAGTCCGTCCGCCCGCCTGTCCATTATAATTTGTAAACACGATTCTGGCCACAGTTAGGGACCAATCTTCATGAAATTTTGAATGTAGGATGGGTTCGGCCCAATGAAGACCCCTATTGTTTTTGGTAAAAATCGGTTAATATTTAGGGGTTGAAATGGACCAAATACTTAATCTTTGTCTGATTTTCTGGACGCAATTATGGCCCGAACATAGCGAATTCGAGAAGGACTTCAGGCCAAAAATAAGCATGTCTGTTTTGATAAAGATCTGTCAATATTTAGCGGGTCAAATGGACCCGGACTTTTGTGAAAAATTACAACATTTGTATTCTATAGCTTATATATTTACCTCTGAAGGACATACACCCGATAAGTTGTTAGTATATCGAAAAGGAGTATTTGGCCTTTAACCTTACGGTCAATAACCGGGCACATTTGTACCTTTTTTCGAATAAAAATGCTGTCAAATTTTTAATAATGGAGATATTTGGATCAAATTTTGAGGAATCATTTTTGAGGTATTTTTACACATAATCGAAGAAAAAAATTATAAATATTTTCCATATATATAATTTTTAAAATTTTTTTAAAGTTATTACCTACGTAGATCAATAACCGTGGTACATTTGTACCCATCCGAAGATAGATATGTAAATCATTCAAAAATTGGACTATCGTGAGGTTTTTTATTTTAAATTAGTCTATACGGATCTGATCTAGAGGTAGGAACTCAAAATTATATATACATTAAAATAATATATATTTAAATCCATGAAACTCTATCATCCTGGAAGGAAGCACTCTATCTTGGAAATGTTGTTGATAAATATCAGTCGATAGCACTAGCAATGTCTCTGCGGAATTCTCTGTCTGAGAACGCTGTCGTTAAGACGTTTGAATACTATTCACCTCGTCACTTATTATTATTATTTTAATTGCCAAAATCTAATAATTCTAATATCGGCACCTGTTTCACTTGAAGTTATTCCCCTAAATTTGTTATTGGAGTTCTACATCATTAGGTAATAGGTATAATATATTCAGGTATAATATTATATCTATCCCTTTGGAAATGTCAGAAAAATTCTTTCAAATACCGGATAATAAATTTCCAACCAAAGTTGTTCATTTGTTTTAAAATTAATATTTTATTATCATTAAATCGCATCCTCCAACATAGCGCTTAAGATTAGTTCAGTCATTTTTCGAAACCACTAAATTATGTTTTTTTCCATCACAACTCCTTTTTACCATAAACCAGTGGCTGTATAGGTCAAAGGAGCCGAGGCAGCATAGGTTGAGTAAGCTGGAACAGCAGCATAGGTATGAGTCAAAGGAGCAGCAGCGGCATAAGTTTGTACCAAAGGAGCAGCGGCAGAAGCAGTGTAACTATGTACCACAGGGGCAGCAGCGGCATAGGTTTCTACCACTGGAGTAGCCAAAGTTTTGGTTGTATACGATGTGGTCTTAACGGCTGGACTGTAAACATCTTCCACAACCTTGGCACTGCTGTGGACAACACTGTTGCTGTGATGTGACACAGCGGATGGGACACTCTTTACCACATTACCCACATGAGCCAATGAGGATTCCTGAACGGTAACAGTGGCTGCTGGAGCAGAATAAAATAGAGGTGTTTCCAAATGACCGGGACGAGCAGCAGCTACGGCGAGGAGAACAGACAATACCACCTAGTGGAGGAAAAAATATTTTTAAATAATTTTAATTTTTTTTTTTTTTTTTTTGATTTATTAATTCATTACATACCAATTTGAACATTTTTGTAAATTTGTTTATAGTTTAATTTCAGATGGTCTGTATTGAATGTAGGAAATGATTAACTGATACCATTCTTGACAATTGCTTCAGTTTATATACGAAAAAATAAATTTCAAAAGCAATGACCTATCACACAAGCAAGCAGTCTAATTAGTTATTTTACGTTTATGGCCTTGCCATAAGCTTACAGCGTTTTGTGTGTGCGTAAATTCTACTATTAACCATATACAGACGTTTTTGCTATTTGGGGATTGGGATAACAACGAAATTTTGTAGTTAATTTTCTTCGTTATATTTTTAGTATAAATAATTTAGAAGAACTGTGTAATTTCCTTCTACTATATAAAGTAAAAAAAATGTTTAAAAAAGCCACGATTAAAGGACGTACATTAACAAAATCAAAAATGCACGCTTAGAGAAAGTCGTGAAAAAAATATTTTTAAAAATCAACGCCTATATTTAAAAAGTCGTTAAAACGAATATTTTAGAAAAATCCACGCCTAGAAATAGTCGTTAAAACAATATTTTTAAAAAATAAACTCTTAGACATAGTCGTTGAAAAAACATTTTTAAACTAGTGAGCGGAGCAGTATAGTCGCACGGAGCCGACCATTTTGTGGACTTTTATTCCGAGCCTGGGCAATATATGCCAATATTATCCCAATATCATTATCTGATCATCACCGAAAATTATGGGCATGTTGGATGGGTTCTGCCCAATGAATACCCCTATTGTGTTTGGTGGAAACTGGTTAATATTTAGGGATGAATGGACCAAATACCTATTATTTGTCCGTTTTTCTGGTCGCTCCAGAGGCCGCAATTATGGCCCCACCATAAAATTTACAAAAAAAAAAAATAAAGAAATCCTTGCTTATAAACAATTTTCCAACAAATATTTAACAAAATCCACCCTTGCAAAACGTATTCCAAATTTTTTTTTAACCGGTGAGAGGAACAGTATAGACGGACGGGCCGATCATACGATACCCCACACAACTACCACGGAACTGTAAATTTTTTATTCCGAGCCTGGGAAATATTTCGTGATAGTTGCACCTTCTTGCCCGATTAGAAGTCAACAACACCTTTTCCTCACATTGACATATTTTCCGAATATTACCAATATTCAGTACAACCCTTCTAATTAATTGTCCAGATTCCATTCACCGTGTTTTGTGTTGCGATGTTCGGCTTATACTCGAAAAAAAACACAAAAAATAAGTTTTCGGTCCAATTCATCCCAAAATCTATTACCTGATCATCACGGAAAATTATAGGCGTTATTCTGGACTATACCTGGACCCTCATGGAACATTTCAAAGCAATCAGCGCTATTTTTCCGTCCTCCAATGTGGTAATGGTTTACTAAATAATATCTGAATACATAAGCACCTGTAAATATTTAAGTGTAACTCCCACATCCGAGTTCATATTGATGCCAATATAAGGTCAACCAATCCTGTTGGATATACTATCGGCTCTATGTCCTTCAGGGGCAAATATATACGCCATAGAATACAAATTTTGTATTTTTTCACACAAAAGTCAGGGTCCATTTTATCCGGTAAATATTGAACAATCTTTATCAAAACAGGTATGGTTATTCTTTAGACCGATCCTGGTCTCCATGTAAAATTTCCCGGTGTTCGGGCCACAATTACGGCCTCTGGGGCGACCACAAAAACGGACAAAAATGTAGTATTTGGTCCATTTCATCCCAAAATATTAACCAATCTTTACCAAAAGCAATAAGGGTCTTCATTGACCAGAACCCATCCTACATGCAAAATTTCGTGAAGATTGGTCCATAACTGGGACCTGTATAGTGTTTACAAA